TTTTTACCTGGAGAAAAAGTCCGGGCTGTTTCGGACAGGAAGGAGACACTTACGATCCAATACGTTCCAATTTTCGCTCTCTATTGCCCATTTGTTGAGTACGGGAATGATTTCTGGGCTATTTTGGGCACTCGCGGGATCCCGCGTTGCGTACGGGAAAGAACCTATTGCCACCTAAAAGTCTACACTACGTTGCTTATGCATTTGGCAGACTTTTCGTTAATTTTCTGACAGTCAGTTACGGCAGCTTATTCATATTATACTCAGGCCTTTATGGGGCTTTCGCGCGAGGCGATTTTGCAGGCAACTTTTGCATTCAACTCACGCAGGGTTGCACGAAAAAAAAAATTGAATGGCTAAAAATATCAAAATTAAAAAAAAAATCAAAATATTCGACATAAAAAGGCGTTTGCATTGTTCAACTTTGCATTCTAATTTTGGTTGAACGGCCTTTCAACTAATCGCTTTCAACAAAGCTGGTCCATTTAGCCATTCAACTTTTTTTTCGTGCAACCCTGCGTGAGTTGAACGCAAAATCGCCTCGTGCGACACATGTGGGCTCGGCCTCAGGGCTGCCAACTTGGCTCAAACCGTGCCATTTTTAGCCCTATTTTACATAAAATGGCACTTAATTTTTCAATTTGACAGTTAATGCCAAAATGGCACTTTTCAAAAATAGTAATATTTCAATACATTTTTGTGAAATCCTTTGTGTGTACTTCTTTTTCTAAACTAAAATTTTCTAATTTCTAGGGACTATTCAACTGGTTTATCTTATTTTGGCATTGCACTTTTGTTTTAGAAATGTGGTTCTTATTTTATTGCTGAATGGAAAGGATTAAAAAGGATAGCACCATTTGTTGCTCTTTTATTTTTCTATTTGGCACATTTTGGCACTTTTTTATTCTCAATATGGCACCTCATAGCTGAGGTTGGCAGCCCTGCTCGGCACCCTATATTCAGTTTGTCAACCACTTCACAGTTACCTAGAATATCCGTACGACTCGGCAGCCAAATAAATTTCGTTGTGTGCGTCCGTTTTCCTCCAACAAGCTTCCAACATTGTTTAAGTCGTTTTGTACAAGTCCAAATAAAACTTTAGCGTGTTTGCCAATAACAGTTGGAGCTAGGTGATCCGCATACGATGTGGCTTGGCAGTCCGAGGTTTGTAGGCGCAACTGCAAATTATTTGTGGAGTTGGCGAGAAAATCCCGTCTTGCGGTGTGCCTCTTGCCGCTTATCTGGTGACTGATGCTTGTTATATCCTGTTACCAATAAGAAGACTAATGAATGCCGCACGTTGTAATCCAACCCCGGAAGTTTGCATGGTTCGAAAGACTTAACAGCCCATTCCGTTGGATATCACATTCAAAGATTGGATGCAGATTCTACTAAGTTTGGTGGTGTTTTGCACACTGAAAAGTGCGTGGTCGTAAGTACGCAGGGCGACTGGGCTTTTAGACACAATTTTTCTATATATTTGAGACACAACTTATTGCTTCGCCATTTTTATTCGATGACTTTTAATTCGTCGAGATAAGCGATTAGGACATTCGATCATTGGTTGTAGACGGGTAGCACCAGCATTCCGCGAAAAGCGTAATTTGCATTGAGACTCGGCGAGTACCTCGTTTTGTTTAATGAAGTCGACAACCCTTGCGGTGTTGGATATAACATCTTTACCTTACGCCTAGAGATACATATATATGTACTTACGTGGAAAGCGCCGCAGAAAAAGAACGCTGTGAGAATAATGGCGTCTGGCATGATGTGAACAACTGACTGGAGCTATGCTTCCATTTTGGTTAAAGTCGAAATTCCTTTACCGGCAGATGTGACTGGGAACTTCTTTCATTCTAAACGATAATTAGCTGCCCAACTTCACAGATTGCTCCTAACTAGACATACGAAACTGTCTTTGAAAGAGGTCTTTAGACTCCCAGATTGTGCAAGGAAGCTAGTAAAGCTTATCAACTTAGCTCCATCTAAACTGGCCTTCGTTATGGAAAGTGAAGCTGCTCGCCCTTGTGTCGATAACAACTAACTCTATATCCATTTAAGAAGGCCGAAGATTCCTACAATCTCTTCGACAGAAAAACGTCAATTTCTACTAAGTTTCGGACACTTATATTCCGGGAAATGAGGAAGCCGACAAGTGAGCAAGAAATGGATTTGATAGAGTTAGGGGATGTGGCTCCAAATGAGACTGCTATTCTCTCACGAGTCGAGGATTTGGCTTGAGCAGCCGAGGCACTCAAACGGCACGTTCAGGTCCTCAATGGAATGCTAATGGAACACCGAGCCACGTTTAACGAATTTTGTAGATGCCTTAGAGTTGAGTTGCGATAAAATTCTTTCGCCACCTCCTTCCACTGGATTCAAAATTTACCTTCATCTTTTAAAAAGGTTGTTGTTGTTGTAGCGGCTTTTAAAAAGGTATTACCTATCGGTTAGAATGAAACATCAACTTACGTATATATATCTAAAATTTCTTAAATTTTCACCTATTTTTGATGGTCCTCTTCAAGTCAAAACTTCCTTTCGAAGAAGAAATAATTTTTTGAATTTGCCATCTAAAGTTTCTAGGAAATTCCTTTAGGATATTTGCGCAGCAATTTCTGAGCTATTAAACGTTGTATGTATCTATGTATGTATATACATACATACATATGTATGCATCTATTCAAATGCTTTACTATGTTTTATCTGCATTAAGAACTGTTCAGACGCAGATAAGCTGGTCAAGTGATTGGATGAACGCAATACAAAATAAAACAAAGCAGCATCGTACAACAAAGGGGCATTGGCGCTTTTGTGTCAACATAGAAGAGAAATAAATGCAGTATCAACCGCTTTGGGTTAAAATCTACATATCAGCTTCTACTAGGCGACAAATTTATATACATATATCTACATTTTCATGCATTTTACCACAGCAACAGTAATGGTAATTTGTAAGAAGATAAACAATATCTTACAACGAATCGTCGCAATTTTTATTAGTTGAAATATCTTTGTTTTTGCTGACATGTATTGTATTTATTTGTACAGCTATATACAGTGACTCACAGAAGTATTTTGCTTTGATTTTTTTTTACGATGTTCAAAATGTTTTTCATGGTATATTTTTTTCATTCATTTTTTATAAAAATATACGCAACTCAGTCTACAACAAAAACCATTTAAATCAAAATTTCAAACTTTCCGCAAATTTTCTTTAAAATTTTAAACTTGGTTTACACAATTTTTTTTCGTGAAACTTCATATAAGAATATAAGAATATAGCTCGAGTCTACAACAACCATGCAAATAAAAATTTCAAGTTTTAGAGAAAATTCAGCAAATTTTCCTCAAAATTCAGCAAATTTTCCTCAAAATTCAGCAAATTTAAACTTTTTAATCAGATTTTAAAAAAAAATCGAGTTTACATTTTCGTTATGAATTTTTTTATGGAAGAAATTACCTATTATCAAAAGTTAACGTAATTTTTATGCGACCCAATCTTATTAAACTGTTGGATATTTTGATAAAAATTTGCTGAATTTTTCTTAATTTTCACTAAAAAATTAAATTTGGATTTACGTGTTTTTTGTTATAAAAAGTTTAAAATTTTGATGAACATTTGCTGCACTTTTTTTTATAGTTTGCAATTTTTTATTTACGAACGAAAAAGATTTAGTATGAAAAACATTTTGAATTTCGTCAAAAAAAAAAAAAACAGTGCAAAATACTTCTGTGCATCACTGTATGTACTACATATATCGTGAAAATGCTAGCATACAAAAATTTCCACTATTTTCCATATCTACAGTTCTTGTTGTCCGTCCGCCTGCATTTGTCGCTGTTCCTTGCCTCAATTGTTGCCGGAAATTATGTGACGACACTTTTTGTTTTATTCGAATTTCGCACAATTTAATTAATTTTGCATCGGAGTAAGACGTACTTGCATATAAATATGTATACATTTACTTACATAAATACATACATACATATGTACAATATCTACAGTGGTGGGAGAAATATTAAAAACTTTTTATTTTGACCATATTACTTTTGTTTATTTGAAGTTTATTATTTTTTATAAAAGTCTACCGCATTATATAACATGCACTATGTAAATCCAAATTTTGAAACTTTGTATAAAAATTATAAGAACTGCAAACTTTTGAATAAAATATTTTTGAAAAATTTTTGGTATGCAATTTTATATTATAGCCCATTAAATTTTAGTCGGGTAAGTGAAATTTTCAAGCGGCTAGAAAATCGCGTTGATTTTTGATAATTTTTTTGCTGACGCTGCTAGGCATTTTCTGCCATATAAAAGAAATTTTGAGCATGCACAACAGCCGTCAGCCAAACAAATTATTAAAAATTAAAGTGATTTTCTACCGCCTTGAAATTTGCACTTTCACGTACTAAAATTTAATGGGTTATAATANGAACTGGCTGCCGAGATAGGTCGATCTTCCACTCAGCCATCGATATCTACCCAAAATTATTTTAAAAATTCCGAATAAATAGTTTGAAAACGTTTGGGGGATTTTGGTAAAATTTGTTGAATTTTAAAAATTTTTGTACGAAGTTTGAAGTGTGGTTTTATATGGTGCGTGTTATATGTATAACGCGCTACATTTTTATAAAAAAATATGAAGCATCAAATAAACAAGAGAAAAATATCTAAAACTGGTCAAAATAAAAAGTTTCTATTATTTCTCCCAGCACTATATACATATGTATGTGTCTCCTATATACTTGCAAGTCTTGAGTGCAATAGTGCCGCATCTCTAAATGCTCGCGCGTCTAGCATCATATCAGCAGCCGCTGTTGTGCCGTTCGTACGCATAGAGAGCCGGCTGTGCTGGCCGTCCAATCTGCGAGTTGAAAGAAATTTTCTGTTTTCTAGTGCCAGCTAATTTTCAATTTTTCAAAGTAAATTTTTCTGCAAGAAAAGTAATACATTCTTATTAATTGTTTATTTCCATTTCTTTCCTTTCTTTCAGAGTGTAATTGCGGTTGCCTTGATTCATATACATCGTCCTCCTCGTACATTGCCTCAAGCTCTACGACTCGTTGTCAAAGCACTAGTAACGAAGCTGCCGGAGTTGGTGTTATAAGTAGTACAACCGCAGTAGCAGCGTCAGCAGCATCTGCTTCAGCGCAAACGGCATCCACCAATTCGGCAGCGGTGGCGGCGACGGCGACAGCGACGACGACAACGAATAACAACAGCCTCAAGACGGCGCACACTAAAGTCGCCACGTCTGGGGGGCACGCCAATACGCAGCCCCCCAGCAAACGTTCGAGCAGCGGTGCCGATGGCGATTATCAGCTGGTGCAACATGAAGTTCTCTATTCGCTCTCCGCTGAGTATGAGGTGAGTTATTGGCGTTTCTTTTTGAATTCTTGAATTGTTTTAATTGAATACTTTTCCTAGGTACTGGAGTTTCTGGGACGCGGCACGTTCGGTCAAGTGGTTAAGTGCTGGAAGCGTGGCACCTCAGAAATTGTGGCTATTAAGATTTTAAAGAATCATCCGTCATATGCTCGTCAAGGTCAAATTGAAGTGTCGATTTTGTCGCGACTCAGTCAGGAAAATGCAGACGAATTCAATTTTGTACGCGCCTTCGAGTGTTTTCAACATAAAAACCACACATGTTTGGTATTTGAGATGCTTGAGCAGAATCTTTATGATTTCCTGAAGCAAAACAAATTTTCACCTCTACCTTTGAAATATATCCGGCCCATATTGGAGCAGGTTCGTGATATTATTATTTCTTTAACTTTAAATCGATATACATACATATACTTATTTTTGATTTCTATTTCGAAACATTTATTTGGAATGCTCATACATATACATATTTCGATTTTAGAAAAACAAAAATTGGTTTAAAAAAAATTGAACTTGGCCATTGAAAATTATCGGTTTCACTTAACCCTTACAAAAGTTAAAAAAAAAACCTTACAAAAAGCATATGAAACAGAATTGTTTTTTTTTTTTTTCATTGAAATAATGCGACTTAACTAGCTAGGTTGGTTAAATTAAATTTAACACAAACACATTTATGCCTACATCAATCAAATGTGAGGTGAATCCACTGAATTTTCTTCAAAGTCGTTACGAGTATCTCTTCTAAAATAGTTCGTTAAAATACCAGTGAAAAGGATTTTCAAAACTACTACTGTAAAGATTTTGTGTCGAAGTGAATTTTTTCGCCTATCATTTAATGATTCCCTTAAACCTTGAAATATTTCTTACTAATTTTGAGAGTTGAAAAAAAGTTTCGATACTTTCGAATTATTCGACACATATCCCATTTAAGCGAATACCAATATTATGTTTGAATTCTTATATTATTATTGTCAACGATGACTTCTAAAACCCATTTTCCTCGCCAGGTTTTAACGGCGTTGCTGAAGCTAAAGCAACTTGGTTTGATTCATGCTGACTTGAAGCCGGAAAATATAATGTTGGTAGATCCTGTCAGACAGCCCTATAGGTAAGTTATCGTCAAGCCTTTGGTTTATATGTATATGTATAAAAAATTTAACGCAATTTCACTAATTTTTTTTAGGGTGAAGGTGATTGACTTTGGCAGCGCATCGCACGTTAGCAAAACAGTTTGCAACACCTACTTGCAATCGCGCTACTATCGTGCGCCGGAAATAATTTTGGGTCTGCCATTTTGTGAGGCAATCGATATGTGGTCGTTGGGCTGTGTAGTGGCAGAACTGTTCCTGGGTTGGCCCTTATATCCGGGCTCGTCTGAGTTCGATCAAATAAGGTGAGTTTATTCTTTTAATTTCTAGGATATTTGCCTACAGATTATTGTTAATGAACAAATAACCCTATTGCTAAATAATTAACCCACAGGTACATATCACAGACACAGGGTCTGCCCACGGAACATATGTTGAACAGCGCCTCGAAGACATCGAAATTTTTCTATCGCGACGTCGATTCGACCTATCCTTTTTGGCGCTTGAAAACCACAGAAGAACATGAAGCAGAGACGAATACGAAGAGCAAAGAGGCGCGCAAATATATATTTAATTGTTTGGATGACATCGGTCAGGTAAATGTGCCTACCGATTTGGAAGGTGGCCAATTGTTGGCCGAGAAAACCGATCGGCGTGAGTTCATTGACCTGCTAAAGCGTATGCTGACAATTGACCAAGAGCGCCGTCTTACACCTGCTGAGGCGTTGAATCATTCCTTTGTACGCCTCACTCACCTAGTTGACTATGTTTATTGTAACAATGTAAAGGCATCGGTGCAAATGATGGAAGTGTGCCGTCGTGGCGATTTTCATACGTGAGTACCTACACATTATCTTTTATTGCATTAAAAATTATTGCAAAATGTCGCATGTTTTCATTAATAATGTTTCGTGCATTTTTTTATTTGTTTTCATTGCCAATTGCGCAGCGTACAACCAGCCTCTACTTTGGTTACCAATTTTGTACCCAGCACTACCGAGAATATGACGTTTACCATCAACAATCAGCTGACCAGTCAAGTGCAGCGTTTGGTGCGTGAACGTCCGCTAGCCTATGAAGGACTCTACCAAATCTATGGCGGTCGTAATGTCGGACGGCAGTACACTCAACGGCCTGCCGATGCCTTCCAACATCAGCTGAATATATTGTGTCCGCCCTCTTATCAAGCTATGCCCAGTCCCACCAAGCATGTTGTTGTTGGTAGCGCTACAATGCAACCACCATTGCAAGTACGTACATAAGCGGATTTTAATCCTTTTTAAAAGTAACGAAAATAAACATTTCAAAGGTTCCTCCACAGCAGTATGTGAATGTGCCTGTACCAGTGTCAATGGTGGAACCGGCTTCCGGCCAACGTATGTTGCTGACTAATCGTGTGCAAGCAAGCGGTGTGGCATGGCCACAAAATGGACGGCAGATGGCTTTGGTGCCTTCATGGCAGCAAGCACCAGCGCATTCGTTGATTGTTGATTCAGCGCCATTTTTGAACGTTGAGGAAATTTATCCGAAACACCATTTGAATATACCAAGAAATGATCTCAAGAAGGAGTCGCCAGTGCAGCATTTAGTGTAAGTAATCATGTCTCATAAGCACCGAATGGTTTTAAATTATATAATTTTTCATTCAATTCAATTTACAGTACGAAGAGCAACTCGTATCGTGTGCCGCGCCATGACAAAAAGGAGAACAATCAACTGTCGCCTGTTAAGAAGCGTGTAAAGGAGAGCTCTCCACCACATCAGCAGCGTTATAATCGCGCTTCGCATGTTTCTCCGCAATACCATAGCCATCATAATTGCAACTATGGTAGCAGTTATAATAGTAACGCTGGACCGGTTATCACTTCAGCTTCGTCCAGTAGTAAGGAAGAGATCATCTTTCAAATACCAATCTCCCCTTTCTACTTGCATTCTAACTCATCTACCTTACTTCTTTTCCTCAGATATTGTCAGTCAGAGCAACAGCAATGGTGGTGGGCACCATCATCATAGCAGCAACTCGGCCAATCAACAACATGTTATTAGCAGCAGCAGCGGCAGTAATGGCGGGGGTAATGGTGGCGGCTACAGCAATAGCAATCATCACATTATCAACAATTGTAGCAGCAACAATAGCGTTAGTGGTGGCAATTATCATCATCAAACTCACCACTCGCAACAACATCAGCCGGTACAGCCATCGGTGCCACACTCGCATCAGCATCATGGTGCTATTGTAAAGCAACAGACGATTACTATTCACGATACGCCATCGCCCTCGGCTGTCATAACGATTTCCGATAGCGAAGATGAGGGGAATGAGCCACCGGCTCCAGCACCCGTTGCGCCCGTAATGAAGCAACGCGCACATGCTCAGTCGCAGACCAATCCGGCTTTATTGCAACATTCTTCATCGTCTTCGTCTTGCCGCGCCAATGGTCATCAGCACCAGGTGCAATCGCAGCAACAACAGCCGCAGCATGTACACCACCATCACCATCAGCCCCAACCACAACCACAAGCGCAGCAACAGCAACAGCCGCCGCATCCGCATCAGCCACAACAGCCACATCACCAGCACCAGCATCAAGCTGTTAACATCTATGGTAATGCATCAACATCCACTTCAACGTCTACTAGTAGCATCACTAATCATTCAAAGGCAAAGTTGTCGCATGAGTCACAATCACAGTCACAATCGCATACGAATTCGTATTCGCATTCAAATCTAACCCATAGCTCTGATGTCAGCATCAAATGTTCAAGTAGTTCGAACAGTAGCAATAGCCATAGCCATAGCAATATCAATAACAGTAATATTAATAGCAATAGTCAAGGCGGTGGCGTACATAACAATAACAATCATAATAATAATAACAGCAACAACAATAGTAACAATAGCAGTAGTAACAGTAATCAATATGCCACCGCCGCCCGAAGTACGGCATCAAATGCTGTGCAGGGCGGAAGCGGAAGTGGAACTGGATTTGGTGCAGGAGCCGGAGCAGATATTGCCGCTGGCGCCGCCGCGGTCGCCGCATGCTCGGCACAGCAACATGTGGTGCAACACGCACACTCGCTTCCACATACGCACTCGCATTCACATCATCAAAATTCTCACCATCATCACCAGACTCCGACACAGACGCTAATGCAGCCGCAATATATTGCAAGCAATCACCATCATCAACCAATGCAGCCACAACCGCAGCCACAGCAGCAGCAACATGCGGCTAGCAATTGCGGCAGCATCTCTCACAATTCCGCCTCCACTTCCGCAACCAACACCAATTCCAATTCTACTTCTACTTCCACCCACCACCATTACAATAGCAACAATAGCAGCAACAATCATCACCATCATGTTGCTAGCAACACTTCCTCCATATCCTCAAACACCAACAATTCTTCCTCACATTCAACATCTTCCCTATCCACTGTCAATCCCTATCCACCCGTACTATCTTCTTCCTCCTCATCCTCAGCCACCACTAGCATCGCTCATCGTCACAGCAAACACGTTCAGTTAGTAATCCCATGCGTAACCGTAGGTGACAACGATACAGAGGAGGTGCGTCGTCGTAACAGTCATGTACACAGTGGCGGTAATAGTCCCAGGCAACAGCAGCAGCAACAACAACACCAGCATCAGCATCAGCAAATACAAGCTTCATCCTCCTCACATCATCACCACCAACAACAGCAGCAACAACAGCCACATCAGCAACAGCATCAACATCAGCAACAAGTTGTACAGCCGCAGCCACAGCAACAGCAGCAGCAGCAGCAGCATCAATACCAACAGCCTGCTCAACAGCAACAGCCGAACATAAAATATGAACCGGGCCAATCGCAAAAGAAGCGCATTTTGGCCATGGCACAGAATGAGTGTTACAACAATGGCGGTAACGCAGCTGGCTGCAGTGGCAGCGGCAGCAGCTTAGGCAACCAAACAGCTAGTTTGCCACATTTGCCAACCAAGCAGGAGCCAGCCGAATTTTACGAGTATCCGCCACAGCAGGCTCCTACAGTCGTAGTCGATAACAAGCGCTCCTCATGGGCAGCCGCAGCCACACAGGCACAACCGGCACATCACAAGCGCGAGGTCATCTCCACGGCACCATCTGGATCGGCATACGTACAGCATGCACCGTCCTCGTCAGCAGCTGCTGCTGCACCGCCATTGGCGCATTCGAAGAGCTCATCGTCGGCAGTTGGCGGTGTTGTGGCAGTAGGTGCTGTCTCAGGTGCCGCTGCAGGTCCGCCATCGTGGGGTGCACCGCAAGTGTATCATCGCCAACAGCAAACTCATACAGCCGTACAAGTTGTTGCACCATCAGCGCAGCAGCAACAATCACAACCACAGCATCAACATCATCAACATCAAGCGAATACACCGATTGGTGGTTCGCCAGCTGCTGCTACAGCAGTAATGTTGCAGCCGGATATATATGCACAGGGTGACATGTACCGACGTCCAACGGTGTTTGTATCGCAAGCGACTCCAACATATGCGTACAATCGGGCTGCAGTTGCACCGCCGCCAGCACACAACAGTTCGAGTCGTCAGGTGAGTGGGGTACTTTATGATTATAACAGCTGCAGGCTCTGGGGGTCTATTTGCTTGAGCCGCTTTCGATTCGCCTACACCAACAGTTGAGATGAATGCTTAAAATCACTGGATTCTTTCGATGACAATGTGTATGAATGGCGACCGAACAACATATCCTTTTAATGCTCATATCTGCTTAAGCTAACAAAGAGCTTAAGCAAGAAAGATCGAAAGCGGCTTTTCTCAATTTCGGGGAAAATTTGCTAAACCATTTCTAACTGCTGGCTTTCGTTCACAGGTAATACCATCGCATCCACTGCCCGCTCATATACATTTTCCCACACAGTATAGCCAATTTGGTCCTCTGAGCCCAGCACAAGTTGCCGCCAGCAAGCATGCGCATTATGCTCCGGCGAATATATGGTACGGTGGAGAATAAACTGGTTTAAAACACTCGAGTGAGTCCAACGAAACGAATAAATTAATTTATTATCTTTATTGTGCACCGCATTCATATGTATTACATTTGCTAAATAAATATTTTTCTATCTTTCATGCTTGTATCAAACTTTAATATACAATTTACCGCCTGAACGTTTCATGCAGATCTTTTCTAACTGATTGTGTTGGCAGCAACAGCAGATTTAAGAAAACCAAATGCAGTAAAAAGAATTACAACCACAACAACAACAACAATAAAAACTATATTTTAGACGACTTGCAACAAGAGTTGCTGCAAACGTCGCAAGAACAGCAGCAGCAGCAGCACCAACATCAGCAAATGCATAACGATTTAAAAAAATTGCTTACGTCCGCAAATGTGACGATGGCGACTACGGAAGCAGAAACTCAAGCAACAGAAGCCAACACAACAACATCAATTGAGGATAATCAAAATTTATGTTTTACACGATGGTGGTTTATGCTGATGCAACAAACTATAAACTACAATTACAACAATATATTACAACAAACGAACGCTGCAGCAACAACTACGTTACCAGCAGCATTTTTTGACGAGCTTCTAGGAAATGTAACAAATATTTTTCCAAACGAACAATTACAGCCGTAAAAGGGCGGGCCGGTAAGTCTACTATGGTTGGTGTAGTGCTAGTAAGCTGTATTGAATTCAGCAAATGTTTTACGCCCACGTAACGGACTGTAAGAATTGCAAGGAGTGTTGGTGGCAAGTGAAAATGCCTTCAACACGTAATTTGTATTGTATATATGTATGTAAGTAGAATTGAAAACGTATAATCAAACTTTCTTAAATGAAGAAATGATGTGACTATATAATAGTATATGTATATCTACATAAATTGGAAAATATTAACGATTCCTTCAAATGCATAACAACAATTAGACAGTTACTTTAACTTATTAAACACACATCCACGCACTAATACAATTTTATAACAACAATGTACGAATACTTGGTGATAGGTGTTTTATAGATGAACAACAGTGTATAGCAAAAATTTTGCCCAGTAATTTTTGTACACAGCAAATAAGCTGCAATCATTTTGAAATATAGCCGGCGTATGTATGTATTTAGTAGAGCTACCAAAAAAGAAGCTTAACTAATGCATATTCAATTATGGAGATAAGTCAACACTATTGCAACATTATGTTGATTTTTTTTTTAAAGAAGGTAGCAACAGATTCAGCCACATACATATTTATATGTCTCGCTATCACTAGAGCATGTATGTGTGTATAATCAAATGAATAGAAAAAAAGTTGCAAAATTGCTAAAATAAATTTATTCTTATTCTTATGGTTATTATTATAAAAATGTATTATATACTATAATACTTAAATGTATGCATTAAACCTATTGATATTTTGTTATATCTCATAAGTTTACAACGTCATAATTTTGTAAGAAAAAAAAAATCAATACATATTTGTATATGATTATTGAAACCTATGGATGTACTTTAAAGAAATTGTAAAAAACATTCAAACTATGCATTCATAGATATGCTAGTACATATATATGTACAAAAAGCATACAAAAAGGCACATATTGACCAACCCCTGCGATTGATAACACACACACACCCATACTACCTACAAAAATTAGTTTTAAAAAATTAAATTTAGTATACATACCTTAAATAAGAGAGGGTATAATTTGAAATTGCAAGCTCAATGCCTCTAATAAATGTGGCTAAATCATTTAAGTTATTAAATTTAGCTTGTAAATATGTTGAGAGAGAAAGGCGGCACATGTTTTCTGCATATTAAATAGCGCTAAACGCAACGTAGCGAATTTTTCAATTTTAAATACTTAGCTTCAAAATTTTTAAAGTAATGTTTAAAGCACGCGTACAAACTCACCAAGATTTCAAATTTGATATAAAGTTAGTAAGCGATAGTTTTTTTGTAAATAAAATGCATACATTTTTGACTTACATTATTATTCTTTAAAGAGACCGTTTTCACTATGGAATTAACTCACATACAGCACTAGTAACTACCGATTTTCAGTACAATAATATAAAGTTTACCGCTGAACGAAAACGGCGCCAACTTGATCCGAGTGTGCACATAATTTTCTCTTACGAAAACCTAAAATGTTTTATTGTGTTAGTATCATGAAATTTTAATTTTGCAAATATTGCAAAAGGGCGCTATGCCTACTATTCTAGTATGTAGTAGTTTTTAATGAGAAAAAAAAAAAAACTAAATAAGCAGACTTAACTGAATTTTCTTGCAAATCGCGCAGCATTAACAAATTAGGCTTAAAGCGAACGTGTAAATTATTTGATTTTCAAAGTATATTAAAGATATTAAACTTTTTCGTTTTGATTGACTTAGCAAATTTGCATAATTTTAAGATTTAAATAAGTACTACAATTCAAAATGCATTAATTGTCTAATGAACTTTTCAAATAATTAAACACAATTACTTTGTTATAATTACATTTAAACAAGTTCTCATAGTTACTTGATTGATATTGCATGGTAGTCACATAAAAAATTAATGTATTAGTATAAAATAAAATGTTTTAGTCACATTTAATAACTTAAATTGCTTTTGAATATTACAGAAGAAGTTAATTAAAACTATATATGCGATCCAGTTGCTTTTGAAGGGCATGCAAGAATTCGCTCAACTGGATTAATTGCTAGGCATGAACTAGCCAAACTGCTTTGATTAATTTTCAACAAAAAAAAAATATTATTTTGATTTAAGTTAAGCTGTTCCGTAATTATTGTAATTTTTTTTTAACTTTCTACATGCTTTTAATTATTTTTTAGTGTAGTAGAGCGCTTTTAATTAATTTCTGTTGCTTAGAAAAACTATTGCGAATTGCCTTTTAATTGCAAAATTCCTATGCTTAGTGAGGCATTATGCACTTTGAATGAAATGAAAAATACATGATTTTTAGAAGTACAAAATAATGCATTATTCTATTACACCGTGTGAAAGCGTATCAAACACATGAGAAAATCGGAGCGTGCGCGGTATCAAAACTCATTAGGATTAGATTTGCTTTTTAGTTATGCTGGTCGCACGTTAGTATTGTTTTTAAAAAGCACTTCAAAGTTGCAGATAGCACCCAGCACAAAAAGTCGTCATAAATCTATATATATTTATTAGAGGCGAAAGGCCTGCACTTTATGCTTTAGCCATTCAATTTAAAAGCAAACAAAAAAATCGATTAAAAGGATGACATAGACTTATGAGTTTTGTAATGCTGTGACCTAATTAAAACTTAGCAATCCTTTAAAAAAAATCTGAATGAGAAAATATTTGGAATTTCATCGCACTGTTTAATGAGGCCAACAATTTTAAGCATACGTTTTTTGCGCCGTAAAAAGACACCCCTTGAATAGTTTAATACCTTGCGATACCGAAAACAAAACATTACTCTAATTTTGCTAATTATCAACGAATATTTTATTTTTCAAAATAAGTTATACATATACATACATATGTCCATGCGACATACATATGTATGTATGTATTATAAATTAATTTTTGGATATAAAACTTGTACATAAATACATGTACATATGTATAGTTCTTAATTGCATTAATATGCAAGCTTTATCTGCCCGATCGATTTGAAAAAAAAAACTTTATTACTGGCATGGAGTTTGTTTATATGTTTTAGCTCAACTTTTTATGTACATAGATGTGAAGAAATTAGTTTTTAAGAAAAGATGGTATGAAAGACAAGAATAAAAAATACGAGCGATTAATTAATTATAAAATAAAAAATGGTTTAACCTTGAGGATAAAACGTACATCACATTTCTTCTTGTTATTGTAAACAGCGAGTGAGACTTTATATTGTGTAGAGAAGAGAGAGAGAGAGAGTGGCCGTCGAGTCTCCGAGTACCCAGCTTTGGTGACAAATTTAAAAACTTTAACTCTATTTTTTAATTGTTTACCTACGTATTTTGTTCACTAAACCAAATTATCCAAAATAAATGTGAACCTAGTTGTAAGTAGTAACACTTACAATAGCCAACCACATCAATTTAAGACCTTTTAAAATAGACTAACGAGGATGAGTACACTGCAATTGCTACGACAGTCGGGGCTACGCAACCGCAACGACACGGATTTCTATCAGGCCAATAACTGTAACTTCAACAACAGTCGCCAAGAATGTTTGCAAATTTGAATATTAAAAAAAAAAGCGAAAGCTCTTGCTAAAAAATGAAATACACAGAGTTATAATTTTTATGCCTGACATCACAGTTACATATATTTGTATGTTTTGTAATATTTGTGTATGATTGTGCAAGGCACGAAAGAAGGCAACTTATTGTATGTATAAATCAGTTGTCATCTGCATACATATGCATGTACATAAGTATGTCAATAACTGCGTGTGGTAATATAGTTTTTATGTTATTCTAAATAGATATCTGTATGTAAATAGTTCATTTAGATTGTTTCATTCTCGTGTCAACTATAAATTTTGCTTTATTTTTAAGCAAAAAATACTTAAAACTTTAATGTTTTGTGCGCGCGCCAATAGCGGGTGGTTGGTTTTCGCAACTATGCAACTGTATACAATATAAGTCTACATAACTACAAATTATTACATATATTTAGACAAGCGTTTCGGTATGAATGTGCTATATAATTTTATATTAAAGTTTAATTAATATCTAATTGAGTTGGATTTATTCACCACTTAAAGCACATTATCGTATGATATGATGACTAATAATCAGTGTAATTTTTATTTCAATCAAGCCTTTATCATGCACTTTACGCCACGATACGTATACTTGTACGCAATAAATGTAGTATAAAACGAAACAACTTTTATATTAAATAACACGTAAATTAACAGTAAATTTAAATTGTGTTTTAGCTGAAAACTATGATGGAACATAAAAATAGTTTAAGTTTGTAGCATTTGCAAGAAAGAAAACAGAACAGCAAGAGTTATGTATTGCATGCTCTGTGATGATGCAGTAAAAATAGCAGCGTTTTTTCCACGTTAAATTTACTATACTCGTACATACATATGTAGATAATAATAAAGTGTGTGTTAAGGCCACTGGCCTAAACCAAACTTTGAAAGGGTGAAACCACCCTAATGTGTAATGACGCATATATTCAAAAGTTCTTTGGTTTTAATTTGAATGTATATGTAACAATATTGCCTTTACGGTGTTCTGAAGGGTGGTGGTGGCTGATAGGCGTCCGTGCTCGCTCGGTGGAGAT